AGGCTGAATCTTTAACAAGGAGTTTCAAATACTAAATCAAAAGGACATAAGCAGATCCCTTCTGGCTTGCCTGCATGCAGCACTGTCCAGGTCTTCTGGTACTGTTACAGGATATGACACATGTTTTATTACTATGAACCTTATTAGAGTATCTCATAACATTAAAAAGGAGAAAGAACTTCACACTTGTCAAACCACAAACTCCATCACTGGATTTTCATTCAGCATTCCTTCAGGCCTTTGCCAGGTTCATTTATAGTCAGCTGCTTCTTCATTTACACATTTACTTGCCTACCCACCATTAAAACTCTTTGCTATGTAGTTGGAGTGGTATTGAGACAGCAATCAGGGATAAACTTGATGGGCACAGAAGAGTACCGTGCACCAGAATTTGTTGAAACCTGGCAGTCCAGTATTCCTTGATCTTAACTAAAAAGAAAATTTAACCTGCCCATATTACAGTATTCCTTAACTTTTACAATGAAAACTAGATACAATTGTTACCACAATACACATCTGAATCTTGTTTCACTGTTTAGTAATCAAACACTACTCAGGTTTCATAATCCCATTTCAACATGAAGCACACAGTGCCTCACTTTCCACCATGTCTAAATAAATAACTCTAAAGCTGTGTGCCCAGGCCTGGGGCCCTCAGTACAAGAAGGACGTGGTCCAGAGGAGGGGCACTGAGATGATCAGAGCCCTGGAGCACCTCTCCAATGTGGTTGAGGAAACTGGGTTTGTTTAGGTTGGAGAAGAGAAGGCTCTGGGCAGACCTCATTGTGGCCTTCCAGTACTTGAAGGAAGCATATAAACAGGAGAGGTAATGGCTGTTTGCAAGGGTGGATAGTGACAGGACAAAAGTTTTAAACTAAGACAGGGGAGAGCTGTGGGCAGCCTGGTCTGGTGGCTGGTGACCCTGCACATAGCAAGGGAGTTGAAACTAGATAATTGTTGTGGTCCCTTTCAACCCAGGCCATTCTATGATATATATTTATACACACACACTGCTCCAAAAGTGATGTCTCCTATTTTATTTTGCTGGCCCACCACATCAGAGGCAGACATTGTTGGTATGGCAGTGGAGGTTGAGCCTTTACACCAATATTCCATTCCGTTTTGTTGTCGTGTGACAGATGGCACCAGAGGGACAGTTTGATAAAATGGTGTCTGACATTTAAGTGCATATAAAACAAAAGTCTATGGTGACTAGCTAGATGTGGTGACTACATTGAAAAAAACTGTTTTGTAGCTGAGAATTTATCAAATTGTGTTACTTTGCTCTTTGTATCTGTTGTACTTTCTAAGGAAATAAAGTTGGAGGCATTACTTTCAGAGCAACCTACATATATGTATATGTATGTATATGTTTACATATAAGTACCTATGTATGTACATACACAAATGCAAACTTACATGTGTATATACACATATATGTAGGTTGCTCTGAAAGTAATGCCTCCGACTTTATTGACCTATAATATCAGAGGCATATTTATACAAACATACATACGCATCCACAGTTATATAAACACACACACACAATCCAGGCTGCAGACACAGTCATTCCCTTCAGATTCTTTTCTTTATAATCTGTTTAAAACCTATAACAAAGAAACATTTCACAAAGCAAGGATGGATCAGACAATAACCAGAAATATAAAAGTATTTTTAAAATTATTGTTTGGAGTTCAAACTCTAACTGAAAAATAACTTTATCAATAATTTTACACACCATTGCATACATTACTTAAAACTGCCTCAGCCCCACAGCATTCAGTTAGTATTTTAGATTATTTGAAAGTAAGAGACCTGCTGCATCTGTCCCTCAATTCACAACTAAGGTTTTCTCAGGTTTAACCCATGCTTACAAAGAAATCAGCTGTTTAAGAACTCAGAACGTGTTCAGTGACACTCTTTCACAGATCAGATTTTGAGTTTAATCTGCAATTAATCTTGAGTACAAGGCTTCTAGTGTTCTATTTATACCAAGTTTATCCTTCTGATATGAAATATGCTTTCACACTTCTAGAGATTAAAGTTCCAATGTTTATATTAGCATACATGTTTAGGGTAAAACTAGTTTTTAAAAACACCAAGCTGTGAATCTACTACATTTAGACTCTCTTTACACCCTTAAAAAATTAAGACAGCAAACATACATGGTATGATTTCAATAGTTGGAAAAAAAATTAAAAACCTCTCAATATATACACAATTATTAATATTAAAAACACTAGTCAGATTGTCATCCTTCTCAAAAAAAATACACAAAAAGTCTTTGATTTGTACTTATGAGTATACATACAAATGGCCCATTTGTCATTTCTGTCAACAGAGCAAATGGCACGCTTAAAATTAAACATACGTATAAATGCTTTCTTGAGATCCTTTGTACTACAAAATAGTGATATGTAATTATCATTCCACATGCCCATTCCAGGCAAAACCTGATACCAATCTAATCAATTCTCAAATATATTTATAAAGAATCCTGTTGTTCTACAGTAAAATGCAAATGCTAGACCAAGTTCTTTCTAGCTTTAAAGGTGCAGATGCATTTACACGTTCATTCACTGTTATTCCAAAAGTAGACTTGCCTAAAATGTAATAGATAGACCAGTTCAGAAGGCCGTGTACAACTGTACCATTTGATGAAGCCATAGCACCCAGCACAGAGAAAAAGCATTTTCTTTCGCTTTCTTACTTGTTCTCTATCCGCACTTTCTGCGCATTTCTCACAGCTGTTTGATGTCCTAAGAATTTCTCTGCTTTCCCAACCACTCATCACTTTTCTTTCTACCTTTCTTCTTCAAAGTAAAGAAGAAAAACAAATCTTTAAGAGGAAACTTCCACTTTTAACTAAACTTAAAAACAAAAACAAGTGGAACGTTAATGAAGAATTCACTGCTTTTAGGCTTCTTCAGCTAGATAGATTCCTCCAACAAGAAGCTTTACCAGCAGAAGGTAAGAGATACTTTACCTCTGTATTAACATGAACAACTGTTTCTTTTAGACTATCCTCTCAAATGGAAAGGTTTTCTTTCAGTCAGTGCTAAGTGGTGTCAGTAAAAGCTGGATTTAGCTATACAAATCATAACACTTCAACCTGACTAAGCATCCTACATTCATTATTCATTATTAAAGTAGTCGAAGACAAAAGCAGAAAGATGACAGATGGGTAAAGGATATTGAAAAGACTGCAAAAACACTTGCAGGCCATGGTAATTTTATTTACTGCTGATATCAAAGTCCACCAATATTTAGACACTGCAGGTATCTGCAATTGATTCACAGCAAATGTGTTTTCCTAAATCAGTACTAATGTTTCAGCACCATAGCACAAAACATGGGTAACAGCAGCATTGTTAGACCTCTTACACACTCCAGCTTGGGTAACTCACTTTTCTCTTTAGATACAGATATAATAAAAATACAGCACATTAAGTCTTAAAAAGTACCCCTGAATGACTACTGCTCTCAGCAACAAGTTTACCACGATGCTAGGATTTCCAGAAATTTGCCAGTTTCCTTAAGAAGAACTTAGGATCTATGCAGCAACGCATACTGAAAATAACCTATCTTTTACAAGTGCTGCTCCCTGGATGGCATCTTCTGTCTCACAAGACAATAAACTATCTGGTGAGCAGTATTATCTAGAATGTTCAAAGGAGATTAACAAAAGATTATCAAAGACATTCATGTCTTTGTTATCCAAGTTATGGCAAGACTCAGAATGCCTATGCCTACAAAATAAAAAAGCTCACTTCATCTGAAAATCATTTAAGTATATATACAGAGTATTAGTAAGTATGTGTTCTTATCCTCTTCCAAATAATTTCATTGATAATTCTTGGTGTTTCCTCCTTTGACTAAAATGACTTTAGAGTTACAGGGAGCTTGTTTCTTCACAAATTTCAGTCAACACACGGAAAAACTTACGTGCACCATGAAGCACCTATCTTTATAAACTAAAGGGAACGAAGTGACAATATACATTCCAAGACATGTCAAAAGTATGTGCATAAGAAAGGTGTGGCCTGCTTCAGCTAGTTACAACACTTAAGACTTTCGGAGCCAAGGCAGCTGCAATGCTAGTGGCACAACCAGCACTCTAATTTATTCAAAAGTGCTGAGCTCTGCCAGGCTATAAAGAGGTATCAACTTGCTGTCCTGTTTAATGTTTGACTCCAACTGTTTTCAGGCGTCCAGACCTAGAAATCTTTAATAATCTACAGCTTAGCTTTTTCCAAATGATATCTGCATAACAAATCTCCAGTAATTACACTACACAAGAAACATATAAAGGACAGAAAAGTAATTACTGTAAAAAATGATACTAAAAATACCACACAGTTACAACAAAAAACATTGCGTATTTTATGCAGTCACATAATGGGTCTCCAGAGGAAAAAATCACCCACTCGAGTATACAGTCTAATAGCAAGCTTTTAATTTAAGGGTTGCTACTGCCACGATGCCAGAAGAATATCTGCAATAAACTAGCAAAAAATAAAATCACTTTCAGATTCTACATAGAGCTACAGTTTGTTTATCTGTTTTTTTAGAAGAGCAACTCACATCCAATAGAGCTAAGCACTGCATACCACATTACAGTTAGATTTCAGAATACCTACAACTCTGTAGATTAGAACTTAAGTTTTGTAAGCAACTGTATGCTTTTCATCACTTCGTTATTTCTTTATAAAACTGCAAAGTACAGTTTGAAACTGCACCCTACAGAGTAGGGTGTGTCAAGTTCACCAAAAGCCCAGAGGCATTTCATTGTTCAGAAAGAACTGAAGCAATGCTTAAAGAAAAAAAATTAGACCATATCTTTGAAATCACTAACAGAGCAATTGCTTTATACCTTCATAACTTTAGCAATAAAGTTTCAGTATCACATACACTACAATAGCAATCATAAAGCAACTTGAGTTACAGTTTTCTTGCTCTCCTTATTTCATGATTAACTATTAAGAAGTCATGACACTAACCTGGGTCCACGTGTCTGGAGTTCCTTCTAATTCCATTCGTTCGTTTCTGAACAACAAAAATACAAATCAAGGATATGAATAAACTTGTTTTCATGAAGGAACATCACACTGCTTTCATTCTCACAATCTACTAGGCAAAGATGGTTATCTTAACTTATTTTCCCTACCAGCATAACCGCAATTATTTTAATCTGGTAGAAATATCATTCTTTGAGAAAGTTTATTCATATATCCTATTTTTTTCCTGACACTAGGCTCAAAAGATTCTTAGTACAGAAGTTTATTCATATCTTATAATTTTTGCTCATTAAGAAATTAAGAAAATCATTTATGAATATGAGAGCAGAAAAATATGTAGTCCACAAGGACAAAAGTAGTGAGGCTGCTTCTCTTGTTTTAGTAAGATAAAAATTTTTACTGTTCCTCCTCTGTACTTAAGTTAGAATTTCCTAGAAAATTCTTAATTTTCTGATTGTCTGGGCAAATACTTAAATTTTTACTAACTCCTCTCCCTCTTTCTTTTAAACTTGGATGAAGCAGTTCTTTGTAAAATCAGAAACACTGACATGAGGTATGGGTCTCTGAAAATTTAAGTATGAAATAAGGCACATTGTTAAGCCAGCCATTTGCTTTTGCAAACATATTTTAACTGGTAGCTTGCATGAAGGTTCATGCATTCTTACATATATTTTTAATCAAGCCAATCAGAGAAAAATATGCTGCATTACAAAGGGAACAATTAAGTTGCTCCAATTTAGTTGCAGTTGATATAAGCTGATGCAGGACATACACTGAGGCAAGACAAAAAGCAGTAACCCGAGGCATAACAAAATTAGTAAGTCCTATAGCAAGCTGGCAAAAGGAAAAGCCTGAATTAAAAAAACAGTTTTCAGACTCTTGTCAGACTGGACATCTTTGGTCAATACCTTACAATTTTAAACAAAGAAAAGATGCTTTTCTTTCTTTTTTTTTTTTTTTTTTGCATGTGTAATGAAAAAGATAAAAATTAAAAATTGCTGCTAAATGTGAAAGTATAGTTTGAACAAAAGTCTCAATTATTATTATTATTATTTTTTAACAGAGCCTATTCTTTTTTATAACTCTTAATTATAAGCGGTGGTATTTGAATATTTGCACAAGAGGGAAGAGAGCAAGAGCAGGAAAAAGCAAGCCCAAAGGAAGACACAGACATTTAACTGAGTGGCAAAAAAAATACAGTAATTCTGTGATAATACAACTCAGGTACTGCAAAGGTTCAGATTGAAAATGATTTTAAAGAAAATTCTTTGGTTGTACAAAAACATGGTGATTATCCTCAAATATATTGCAGTACAACTACATTATCAGTATGATGTAAATGTTTCCCAAAATCATATATTCTGATTTATACTTAATTCTTACAGTGCTAAAGGTAATTTAAAGCAGGTAATTAATTAACAATCCTGACATTTTGGCTCAAATCAATTGCCAGTACCAAATTAATAGCTCTAGAAAGCAAGCCTTTTCTCACAAAAAAAAAATATATATATATATAGACAGATAGATATATTTCAGAATCATGCTGGGGGTGAGAAGCTTAAGGTCAGAAGAGATTAGCTACAATTAGGATCCATATTTTCTTCATCTGGTCACGTATGTTCACCTTATTTAGCTTGAGGTACTTGGCAGGTCTGCCCACAAGGTGCAGTCAGCAATCTGTTCATGGCTTCCCAGTGCTGTCTGTCAACTGCAGCACCAGGAGAGTTCAGCTAAAAGGCCATGCTATAATTTTCATATTTTCAAGTGTCCTTCCTTTAGCAGATATTTCTAGGCAGACATTAAAGACCAGGCAGCAGGCAGATGGAGGTACAGCTGCAGAGCTGCAGGCTGAGGAAGTGGCAAGGCAGGCAGGCAGGCAGCAGCCATTTCGGGGCATGCAGGCAGACTGGAGGGCTGAGAACATACGCTGTGGTAGCGCAGAACCAGCACCCTCTCCTCACACAGGGCTGCACCCAGACTGCCCTGTGCTCACACTTTCAGACACCACAGAGCCTGGCTGGTGCCTGCTGCAGCCTAGACCACAGCCAAAGAACATGCCAGAAGGTGCAGGGCCTTCGCAGCCCTTGCTACCACCTGGGGTGGGTGCAGCACTGCACCGCTCCAACACAGGACTGAGCACAGAGGGAGCTGGCTCTGTGTGCGACAGCCATGATCCCCTGTGCAGCACTCACGTCAGCAGGTACGTCCTTTCAGTTTTGTTACTGGTATTGGTGATAGCACCAAAATGTGCATTTATTGAGAAAAGAAACATACATGCCGATACATTTTTCACCATCAATGTGTTGCTTAAATTATCACCAACTTCTGATGTGAAGTAGCTACTGGAAAGTACTCTACCCCCACATTTCTGCCTTTCTTCTGTCAGAGCTGGCAGACAAAAAACTAACTGCTTATTCCCTCCTGTGCTTCAATCCAAAGGCACCAGTAAGTGGTGAGAACACAAACCAATGTGACAGCCAGCCTTCTTGTATTTAAGTTCAGGTACACTACGTATAGCACTGCCTCCATCTTACCATTCTCTCAAGATTATATGAATTCCCTAACAACCAAATCATTCTAACAAAAGCCTGTTTAAATCCAAAGGCTAAACTGCCCTGCTATTCTTTGTTGTCCCCAAAGGCTGTGGAGAAGCATAGACTGAGACACCAATACCGAGATAGTGATACTCCAGCACATCTCATGTGGTAGAGCTGGCTACTACTCAAAAAAGATGAAAAAGCAGTTTAACTGTACTGCCAGATTTGGTCCAGCAACACTGCAGAACAAGACAACTGTGCTAATGTTGTTTTTTATCCTGTAACTTAAGAATACACCTCCACTCCTTCCAGTGCTCCCAACATTAAGCCACACCAACTGAAACTTGGCACGCACTTAGAACATAGTACATTTGTATTAAGTAGCTGTTTTCCACCATTCTAAAGAAATACATTATTAAATGCAGAAGAAAAATATACTGCTCCAACAGCATGTGCACAAAGTAAATAACGTCATTAACAGAGCAAATATCACACAAAAACGGATACTTACCTCATGTTTCAGGTTCCCGTGCTCTGCAACATAAGTAAAAATTGGCATTATTAGTGATTGCAAATTTAGGCTGCTTATATAGCAAGCTCAGCCCGCGCTGTGCTGCATGACACCAAGCCCTGCTGCACCCAGTGCTACCTGATCCCTGCAGCACGCCCGGGCAGCCCAGGGCCGCACCGTGCAGGCCGTGCTCGCCTCGCTCATTGGCTCTCTTCCCCAGGCAGCGCTGCGCCCGGTGCCAGTGGCTGCAGGGCAGCCTGAGCCAGCACGCGCTTCTGCAGCGGCCCAAATACACCTCGTAGGCATCAGCTCAGTGGGAATTCAAGAGCTATTGTTCTTCATTGCGAATCGTGCTGGCACCTCTTCTCAGCTGTTTGTTCAGAGTATGCCAGGGTATGAAGATAAGATGTGTATCTTAAGCTGCAAGTTTTTCCTATACTTGTACATCGGCTTAGCATTACGTTAGTATATCATGGAATCTGAAGCCAGTGGGTTTTTATGAGACCTTTTTGCTACAAATTCTCTTGTACTATTTAAAAATTAGATAAAAAAAATGCAGTCCAGCAGGTGATCAAATGGCACCGAGGCAGTAACACTTGCACCCACCACTACTCATTACTAAAGACACAAACAGGCAATTTTTTTTTGTATACCTTCTTTCTTTCAATGTCTATATTGATAACCGATATTTTGGTGTACTCTAGATGACTTGGGTTTACTGCCTTAACAAATGAGAGCCAACTGCGTTTCCCTATACATTCTCTAGGACTGTACATGCTGCTAAAGTATAACACAAACTGTCCATGCCCAATGATTAATTTCTTACATTGAAAACTTCTTCTCTTGTATCTTGCACACAGTGAGCTATATTCACAATAAATCAAATTAAAAGCTTCAACTGCAAGTAGACTTCATCCCACTAAAAAAGCAGAAAAATGTGAACCAGTGAAGTGTGGGAAAAAACCCTTTGGCTTTCGAGTACTTTATGCAAAGACAAGCAGACGTGCCAAGACCCAGCACGCCAGCTGCGGACGTGGGGCCAGGCACGCGAGGCCCAGCCCATTTACTACCAATAGGCCTTTTTTCTCACATACTATTTCAGATGCTATTTCTTCTCATACACTATGCCAAAGATGAATTTTCTCATCACTGAGACAATTTTTTTCTTTTTTTTTTTTTTTTTAATCATTTATACCCTTTTCATAAGTGTTAATTAGTGTTTGCACAGGGAGTAAACAGAAGAAAAATAAGGCAACCCCAGAGGTAGAAGTAGACCACTGAGGTTTTCAGGAACCTGAGGGAATTAGTTGCTTAAATGTTGCTAAAACTGAGTCTATTTTTGTGTTTCAGAATTTAGTATGTCTTCCAAAACTTTTTGCCTAAATGTGAATGACTTCTCAATTTTCCAGTGTTTCATCTCAGAATTATAAATGCCTTCTAATGAACTGAAGTCATTGGGGAAAATGCTTTAAGAGGAGCAGGGGCAAAACTTCACTTCTAGATTTGAAGGGGACTTTTTTTTTTTTTTTTTTTTTTAAAGGGCCTATCTTTAGTTCTACTGATCACTTATTCAAAAACAGAAGGGAAAGTCTTTCTAACCTCCAGCAAGAGCAAGAGTGTTTTTTTCCACTCCCACAAACATCCCAAACAACCAATTCAAACTCATTTGTGTAGTTATTTCAGCATCCCAACACTTTTCATAATTAGTAATTAAGGAACTTGCTGATTAACTTCCAATATCTGGATTCTAGAAATCACTACAGAGGAAGGTAATAAATATTCTTGACAACTTGCATGAAGTAAATTCTATGAGAAGTATGTGAGTTTTTTCTTTTGTTTTGACTAATTCATAGGTTATAAAAGTAAACTGCTCCATTAACCAAGGCCAGCAGGACATTTATTATTAAAGCCTAATGAACAAATTTGAACTTACACAAAGCAGTAGCAGCTCCAATGAAGAATACTATTTCTTTAAGCTCTCTCTGCATTAACTCATAAAAAGTCCAAAACTTAATCAACACTGACAGACTGAAATATGATTCATTACTTCACTTTTATCATGAAATGAACAAAAAAGTATTTCATATCTATTTCCATCTAAAAGCTTATTCAAAAAATAAGGCTTATTATCTTTTTATTCGCTAAAGTTTAAGTATTCCTGTGGTTTAGAATTTTTTCTACCAAATTATGTGGATTGCTTCATCATAAGAGTTCAAAATCTTTTTTCCAAATGTTACACTATTACAAGAGCAAAAATCTAACCTGCATTTACTTAGATGTTTTAGAAGGAAAAAAAACCAATATCTGAAGATATCCATCAGTAGATATTTTTACACAACAATTTTAATTCAAGTTCCTGCTCATCACCTACACACTCAGCAAGGTCTTAGCAAGTGACTTTTACTGTCATAGTTCAACACTGTTTTTTAGGTTTTGTTTATTCAGTGAAGCTATGCTATGGGTCAAAGTTCAGTCATTATATCTGATTACAAAAGAAACAAGAGTAGTCACTGGCCTCAATGAGGAAGGGGGAATAGATCAAAAAACCACTTATGGGCTGTTCCTCAGCGATGCAACAGAGCAACTGCATTCTGCATGCTTATTCAGTGGAGAGTGGTTATGTAGTAAACTATTCAAGTTCCCATTTTAAAAGAAAACAAATATTTAAAAAGAGTAGCTATCAAGCAAGCTATCTTAACGGAGTTGTAGCACTACTAGCTCCAGTCATTTAACCAGACACTGAATAATTAGAAGAAAAGCAAATAGTGACACCAGTATTGATAGTATAGGTCTCTACACAAAACATCAAGCCCCCTAAGTGACTTCTGTTCAAGTTGAGCAAGGGTGGTTAGTTAAATAATACAGCCCAACCTTTGTTGCATTTAAACAAGAAATGGCATAACTCCAATGAACACTCTGGGACTTGAACATTTACTTGTCAGCGCAGTTGACGTGGTAGGTTTGGAGAAAAGCCAGCAATTTCGCAACTACTGATCAAGCCAGCAAAAAGGTAAACAGTGAAAGCTGCTTTTTATAAATTATCTCTGATGGGCTGTAGCAAGCAACTATTACATAAACAGCATGGACTGTATTATTGGGCATGAACATTATCATATGAAAGACATCCCAAACTAATACCATTTGTACAGTAACACTTGCTTTAATGTTCATCATATACTTGAAAAAATAACTTTCCATCTAGAATCATATGATTTTATGATTATAGGAGGAAAGTTGGTGTTGGTTTTTTTTCTTTTTTCAAATGGAATAACCTGAAGAATAAAAGAATCATGCCGGAGAAGAACAGCATACATGTTTATTTTAGTGGCTCTGTAAGAGAAATATATGTGCCAATTTCATAATCTTCATGTGTAAAGATAAAAGCTTTATAAAACCTGGTGCTTAAGTATGGTTGTGCAGCCTAAAGGAATTTGTCAGAACATTAGCAACAAAGGGGATGGAGGATTTGAAGTCACAGAAAAAATGAAGTGATATAACGTAAGTAAAATATATGAAAATATTTGAGCAGGCCTGTGCCTTCATTGCAGAGTAAAGGAAACTAAATCATGACAGAAGTGAGCACAGAACTTCAATCAGCACACAGATTCAGAGTAAGATGGGCAGAGAAACAGATTAACATTAACAGAATAACAGAGAACAATAAGAAGAAGAAGGACTAAAAAGAGACGTTGTTCTGTTTATTAATTCAACGGATGAAGTCTATCTTTTCTCACTGCAACATCTATAGTCTAATGAACTGGTCTTCTTCAAAGCAAGACATCTGAAGAATTAGCATATGTTGGTGTAGATGGTAAAGCATTACAACACAGCAATTTATCTTCAGGTTTTGTCTATGTTTCTCTCACAGGTATATCATCTAAACCTGACACTTATTAAATTTGTCACTCTGAAGGTTTCATCCATCTTCACATGTCTATCTTTTGCATTTTCAAAAACTGGCTTGGAGTGGAATGCAAACAAAGTTACAAAGTTTTAATCCACTCAGAGATGCTCTTGGCATCATTTCAGAAATCTTTAACAAAAGCACCTGCTCAGAGGTCTAAAAAGAAAACTAATATTAAAACACACCAAAAAAAAAAAAAGAAGGTCAATAAAAATTCTCTGCAAATGCTTTTTAGGAGCCCAGTGTATTCTCATTTTGGCAGAGTTTTTAATTCTGATCACCTCTTTTCAAATAAATCTTTAGTAGTAAAAGGTCTAAAGAATGGAAATGAAAATTGTCTAAGGCATATTTCCACTTACAAAGAGATGATAAAAAATTAAGACTATTCAGTTCACAGAGGACACTAACAAAGAGGGCATGAAACATTAAGGTATCCAGAAGCACTACTGAAAACTTCCATCTACGCTTCTCTCAAAAAATCAAGAAGTTGCAAGTTAATTACAAAAGGGAACAAGGTCAAAAATAACCAGGATAAGATATGTGACCTATGAGAGGCTCAGGGAAAAATTTTATAGACCTTACTGTTACAAAGACTGTTAACCACAATTAGATATTTCTTACTCATTGGCCAAAGTTGCTCAGTGTGTTGAGAGAGGACACATTAACAGCAAAAAATGTGAGGGACAAATTGTTTTACGTTCTTATTTGGTTACAGAGCAAGAAAAGGCATTGCAAGAACTGCAGTTGAAATTGTGATAGCTTTTGTGGTTCTGAACTATTTTCTAAGGCTGTAAAGAAGCTTTACATCCTGTGAGTATGTAAAAGATATGCATCTCTTCTGTCTTGTACAGAAATCTAGGAGCCCTTCCATAAACATAAAACAAACTAGCAAGAGAAAACTTTGTAAAGGAGACACAAAGTGGTATACGTTGATGTAAGCTGAGCATGTAACAAAAAACTGAATAAAATAGTTGCTTCCAAGTTTAGTAAAAATTCATGCAGCATTAACTTTAAAAAAAAAAAAAAAAATTTTTTTTTTTTTTAAATCCATAGGAAAATTCTGCTGCTTTCAAGTTGTAAAATGAAAATTTATGACATTAAGTGGTGGGTTTTTTTAATTTTGATTTTTGTATGTATGTTTTTTGAGGGGTTTCTTGTTCTGGTTTGGTTGGTGTTTTTTTTTTAGTTCATTTGTTTGTTGGTTGATTTGCTGTTTTTTTTTCCTTTCATAGTTGGAATGGAGAAGGGGGGGGAATGACATTGTTTTGTTTACTCCAAGCAAGCATTACTTGGGTATAGATGTAGGAGTACTGCCAGAAATCAGACCTTGTGTGATTGACATTCTTACTGATATACACTGCACTGTACACATCCACAAATCTTTACAGAAAAATGGGAAGACAAGTTCCTGCCTCCTAGCATGTCAGCTATCCAATTAAAATAAAAACTACAAAAGTGATTAAAATAGAAGGGAAAAAAAAAAAAAAAGAATACGCAGGGATGGCTTATAGTGAAAAAGATAGCTTTCTGGTGAAGAAAAGCGTCTTTGCTTTTCCTCTCCATTAATTTAAATGTAATTGTTTTAAAATACTTATTTATATTATTTTCCCCTAGAATAACCTTAGGAGTTTCTATGAAAATTCTTTACTTCAGAAAAATAAATATTTGAATGAAAAATACTGTGGTTGCTTGTATAGATTTTGGACCTATGATAAAAACGATCTTAAAAAGCCCTGACTGGGACAAGAGCACAGAAGATAACCAGTACAGGAAAGCAGTTAATAAAGTAAACTTAATTGGCTGCAGCAAAAGTTAGGATCTGCTATCCCTAATTAACTTGTTAAAAGAGGAAGTAAATCAGGCAAATTAGCATACTGAATCAAAGCAGAAGCCATAAAGTGATGCAAACAGGGGCAAAGAAAGAAGCAAGCTCATCCAACTTGGAAAGGAATAAAATGCTAGAAACAAAATCTTGAAGCAGAAACCTGTTGAGGGAGAGTAGATGAAGTCATGTTGTAATTCAAGCAGTGGGAACTGCATTTTGCAGGGTTCGTGATAGCAATGCCAGAAGAAGAAAACAGAACAAGAGAAGAGATTGCATAGCTTACATGAGATATATGAGACAAGAAACTTCACACGAACTATTATGAAGTAATCCCAGAAAAGAATGCATCAATATTATAAAAGCAAGTAGAACAATTTATCAGAAAGCTTCTCCAAAAAAATACAGTTACACTTTCCAGAAGTCATGATGTGTTCCAATGGCTTTTCTGTTTCAGATACTATCAAGTATGATTCTGTATGATTCTATATGAAGTTCCAGAAACCCAAATGTATAGATAGAGGGGGAGAGCTCTAATTTCCATTTTGCCAGCTCCAGCACTGGCAAAAATCTCTAGAAATATTAAGAGAAGACGGGGAAGAGTCAAAAACAGTTCTGTTACATGACTAGCTGGCTGAAGTGCACAAACCCACTGCCACTAAGTGAATAGGTACAGGGAAGGGAAGGGAAAGCAGGCAAAGATCGAGCACCAATATTTGGCACTAGAAGTAGGGGTGTCAGAGAAAATTACAAACTATGTTGAGCAGAGTGGAGAGAAGTTAAATGTGAAGATAGCAAATAAGAGTTGTTTGAAGGAGACTCAATGGTAGCTTACGTCACAAGAGTCCTTGAGGTCCCAAGGAGCAGAAGGAGAATGGAATGAGCACGAAATGTTGATAGCTAGGGAAGAAACCAATGGAGTAGAGCGATTGATTAAAAGATGACGAAAAATTGGTCCTTAGATGTGGGCAGCAGTGATACATCAATCATCTTTTTGTGAATATTGAGTGGACAGAAACCATGGAAACCAAAGAGATGAAAGTGGAAGCTGAGGCAACACAAACAGTTTCAGGAGCTGAGAGAAAAATATAACAATTGATGTAGACATAAAGGGAGAACCATGAAGATGATAGATGATAAGTCATACAGTAGGTGTTACTTGTGAGCAGTCTACGATTAAAACCAGAGCAATTTCTTGCTGTACAGGACATGGACAAAGAAATTGGGTTTGACCTGTAACAGTTCAGTCTCTTGCTTTTTAACATTTCAATTTAGTAAGAATAAAAATCCCCATGAATTCTAAATGCAATTCTAATTGTACTTATAAATGGTAGTTTCAAAAGTATGTATGTTACAATAAACACAAATTAGGGGTAAATTAAACCTTAATTATATCTAGCAAGTTTTATGTCCTAATTAAAATTGGTATTCTAACAATAAAAATGACTTACCACCTGAATTAGCTCTGCCACAATTGTCTAATCTTCCTAAACATTCTTTGTGCGCTCCAGCTCCGCACTTAGAGCATAAATAGCCTTGATAAAATGTTCCCCTGTAAAATAAAATTAGGTAGTGATACATTAGATGTGATGAATTTTGTACATAAAGAAATAAGAGACACAGCAGAAGGTAGTAGAAGTCACTTGCTGTTCTGCATAATGATATTCCTTAAAGGCTCAAGAAATAGTGACAACTGACAAGCAGCTCATCAGCTTTTTGTCACTAGCAGCCATTTAAAAATAATAAAAAAAAAATCAAAACCAGATAGTTCTTTAGGACTAAAGGTAAAATAATCTTCGTTTGTATTTAGCCCAAAGCAACTCTGGCACAGTGAGCTTGAAACTGTAGTGTTATCTGAATTATCCTACTCTACAGCTACTCTCAGTTTCCATTCAATGGGAATTTGCCCAGACAACATGTAGAACAAATTCATTTTGAAAGACCTGTAAGTGTGAATATATATTTAAGTGCTAAGAGTTTCATGGGTTATAATGAAATACTCTAGACTTCAAACTTATTCATTTTAAAGAAATACATATCTGGGTTCACTTTGCTTAATAACCAGAGCTGCTAAGGAAAGAGCGGCTTTACACATTCTCCCATTCTCTTTAATGAATTTGGAGAACCCAAATTTGAATCTGAGCAAACTGATTCATTTTCAGATTTGTGCATTGCTTTATTCTCAGGTATGATCCACTGAACAGCTAACAGTTTTTTACATGTTTTTCTGAGCAATAATATGCATTCCATCTACTGATGTGTCTGCTTACTCTTCACCTTAGACTTGTCAGGATAATTGTGGAGACAGCCAAGTTTGGAGTGACCATGCATACTAGTTTAATATGTCATTTTCAGCTGCAAAGACAAATCAGGCCTCATATATGGAACACACGATTGGACTAGTTTAATCTGAATGAAACATACAGCAACTGCTACTAACTACAGCAGTTACTAGACTGCTAGTAATTTTTTTTAAATTAAATTCAGAAGTGTATGATTTATTTAAGTGTCAGAATACACAAACTTACAGACAAAGAAATATGAAGTACTTCAATGCACTCAGTTCCATTTTTCAGTTTCATTATTCTTTCTCTTATTACTACACAGGAATGCAAGACTATATGGTAAGAGTGTAGGATATAAAATTATCCCTCACAATAGATGCTTCTGAAATTTTATCTCCACATAAGAAAGATCAGGCACTAAGGTTCACATTTTATTTCAAGTATTTACAAGTCATTCAGTTTAGCATTTTGAATGTTAAAATGACAATGCCTTTTCATAAATTGTTTTGATGTTTTATTGACCCATGCCCAGTAGGCTCTTCATACTAAAATACCCAGGAACGTGTCTATATATCATAAGGTAACACCTGGTTGTGTAAAATACCCTGAAGCAAATTGGCATGTCTATGCAGAACAATGCAGTTTCTTGCAGGCTGCGTCCTGAAAACAAGACAGTCATTTCTCAGTAACAGCAGTTAGTACAGTAACAGAGACACAGTGTCTCAACTATTCCACTTCAAATTCAAAAATGAGGCATGCCATCTCTAAGTTCAGGATGTCTGCAGCATCCTTCATAGTCACTTAGACCTTATTGCACTGAGCAAAATGTCTAAAAAAAATCTCAGAAACTCCAAATCAATACAACTGTTCAGTAAAAAAGGTTGCTAAAGGAAAACACATTTATAAGGCAGTAAGGAACACACCTGAGATTACTGTATTCCATATCTGTGCTTAACAAAAATACTACCCACGTGTCAAACACTCTTCCTACAATTCTATGGCTACATTTTTCTAAACATAAGAAAGTGTTATAGGTACACCTGAACCAGCCAAGCCTTACAGAGCTTTTGTAACTCCGGCTCATACTATGAAATTTACATTCTATACAAGTACCATTAAACACTCCATATTTACCAAAACAGAGGTAGCGTACCGAGAAGTCACAGGTGTTCATGTGCAAGTATACATGTATTTCATAGGAAAGAACAAGGAATTTCTCAATGAGTTACCCTTAGAAATCCTTGCTCATTAAAGGATTAGCATTTCTTATTTAGCTTTCTACCATCCATTTTCAATTTGTCTACATACTTCTATGTCAGCAGAGCCTTTGAGAGACAACTATTTGCTGTTTCACAAAGCAATCTCCCCATATCAAACATTTATGAGCATTGTCATCTGCCTTTTTTGAAAAAACAACATTCCATCTGTCCTTGGAACTGGTAGTCTACAGCAATGGGACTTGTGGCTCAGCCCTGTTCATCAAAACTTTACCAAATGGTCATCATTTACTCTTGCATACAATTCCTGTACAAAATAATGCTCATAGGAAGATTATAACAAAGCTGCCTTCTGAAAAATAGGATAGCTCCTTGATATCTTGGCCTTTCAACAGCATTCCTTTTAATATTTTGTAAGTTATAAAAATCTCACTAACACTGTGTGTGATGGACTTTATGGCTTGAGTGTCTTGAATATGTAACCAGCTAGCCATATATTTCCATGTAATGCTTTGAGTTAAATATTACCCCTGGGGGGGAAAAAAAAAAAAGAAGAAAAAAAAATGAAAAACCTTAAAAATCTTACCTAAGAAGCATTTGACAGACTTTGCAAGATGTCACACGACTGAAAGTATGCATTTTGAACTCATGAAAGCTTGTGTCTGCATAATCTGGTCGTATGTTTGACCTAAAATAAAAAGTATTTTAAAATCCACTTTAAACCACGAAAATTTAGAACATAAAGCACTACTCACATCAAGAAATCTGAATCCAAGAACAATTAGCTTTATTTACGCTTCAATGGTTTCCACTGAAGTGAACAAGAAATATGGAATTTATCACACATTTTGAAATGAAGACTGAATTATTACATTAAGCATACTTGATCCTTAAAACACCTCCCACAAATCATCTTAACTCCCACAATAACTAGATAATAATTATTACATATCAAAACTGTCTTCAACTTTTTATTCCTCTTCAGATAGAGACATTTTATGAAAAAAACACTCATTTCTTCCTTCTCAAATATTTTGTTACACAGATACACGGATCTTCAAAGAAGTGTAGCTCACAGTTTCAAAATCAATAGGTGAGAAAAATGTAACCAGCAAACTTGGGACAATTAGGCCACAAGAAGTCAACCGTATAACTGGTAACTGATTTTTCATCTTTCTTCAATTCAGTAACATTCTCAAGCTAAGAAAATACAACTACTTAAAACAGAACCACTGAAATATTAGAGTGCATAATAGATCTCTAGATAACATTAACTTAGACTAAACTAGACAACAAGAATGTAAGTAGTATGCATTAACATACTTTAAAAATTATTCATCTTGGAATGTTTAGGACAGTATAGATTTCTGGTACTTCTTCCAAAAACAAAGGAATTCATGATGCATAGGAATTAAAATATTATTTTAAAAAAGAGGATAAGAGTGGAATAATCTACAATACTCAAAAGAAAGACCAGAAACTTTTCTGATATATGATTATAAACTCAGGCATTTAAGTTGGAAATGCTTATTAGGTAATTTTCATTTTTATGTATAATAAATAACTTCTGGACTAAAACACAGACCAGCCACAAACCATAATGAAACAAATATGAGTAAACATACAAGCATCAATCTCTCCAGGATTGAATGAAAAGACTTATGAAAAAAACATTCAGAGAATCTAAGTACCTAGTGTCAGAAAGGTCAGCCTTCTAATATGCCTGCTGAAAATGTATGTGCTGAAAAGAAAATTGTATTCAGAAAGAAAAGGAGATTTTTTTTCTTTTATGCTTGAGAAAAGCCTTTCAATCAGTACTATTTTAACTAGCTCACTAGAGTCTCTTTTTGCTATGCAAGATGTCAGTACAACGCCATCTACTAAAAAAGCATGGACATTACTCATTCAGAGGATAAAGATATAGGTGTCAAGATAAATTTATCTCCAGAATGAAATAACTTCTTAAACCAGAAGAACAATATAATGTTCTGGAGTTCTTAATTGAGTAGAGCAAGGCCGGTATTCAATAACACATTCAAGATATTTGCATATGTTCTGTTAAAACCTCTTAGGCTGCACAGTTAACTATGGACAATTCTGAAAACTCTCTAGAATTAGTCTCAGTACTCACAGTCTCAACAAAAGCAGCTTTTTATTTACTATTTTGTCCCAATCAGCAGAGCTTGTGTCACAAGCGCAAATCTAGTATTTAGAGACTCATCGCGGTTGAAATATATCAAATTAATCCTAACCACCATTTTTCAAGTACAAACCAAAGAAAAAGGTGCATCCCTTTCACTGGAACAAGTAAATCTTTAAAAAAAAAAAAAGCACACCATAAGGAAAAAAAAGACAATCCTATCCTATACATGCAGCTTATCGTTAATTTAGACTTGTACTTAAAAATTCTCTTCTATTCTTCTTCTCTCAGACTCAAAGATCGAAATACATGCAAACTACTGAAAATATAACTCTTACTGACAGAGGTGATTCACAGGGCTCTTCTGTTTGTAATGGAGTTTCCTTATATATTTTTATAATGCCAGACCGTTTTATTTTGCAATGCTTTACAGAAAAATTCATTGAATGGGAAACAAGCACAGTCCTAAAACAGCAAAGAACAAAGCTGTCCACTCACAGAAGAGCTGCCACAGGACCTTCCACCTTCTGTCCACAAACTTGCTTTATTCCACTTGTAGACTTAGCTATCAAATTACAACATCCTAAATAAGTCAGGAGGATTATGGAGTTAAATCCCTACATCAGCTTTCTCTTGTCTGTTATTATCTACAGGAGGACTTATATTGGTTCCAAATACTTCTCAGATCTTAAGGATTGCAAAAACATACAATAAAGACTGAATTTCTAAGTCATATAAACCCCACCATGTTTCAGTTGAGTGATTCTACTCCACAGATTGCTATAATAAATTCTCCATCTCAGCAGATGTTTTCTTCACCACTTACAAACCTTTCCTATTCACTGCCACACCTCATGCATTTCTTTGCTAGCTAAAGCCAAAATAGCACAAACATCTTCTGAATCTTCCACCATCCAAAACATATTTTCTCTCCCTTCACCCATCCCCCCTCAGTGCCATATTACTCAGAACTCAAACAAACAAACAAAAGCTTACATCACACACACATTATTGAGTCTGGAAGGGACTGCAGCCTCAGCATATTGTAGAGGATCCTGTGCAGGAAACAGCAGGAATAAAAAAAAAAAGAACACTTTTACCCAATCTCTCTTCTCTTAGGAGATACTTCCAAATACCTGCTTCAAAACGATCCATGCCATTACTTTCACTAAGAGCAACATTCCTGTTTTCTGTGCCTTCCTGTGTATTTTAGTAATCATTCACACTACCTGGCTCTAAACTGAGAGAAAACGGAAATGGACACGCATCAGGAAAATATGTTCTCAAATTCTGAGTCTGCTGCATTTCAAACAATTTTATATGCAGCATCTACTAGGATTCTGTTTATAAAGAAGTAATTTAATAAAAATATTACTATTTAGATGTATTATTGGTTGATTCATCTTAAGAATGCTTTTCCTCACCCCTTAAAAAACAACTTTCACATACATAAAAGCAAAGTTTCCAGTTGTCAGCATCCTGGCTAACTCAGTGGGAAAGAACAGTGCAAAATCAAAAATAGTGCTCATTCTCAAGGCAGAGTAACAATCTTCACATAGACAATTAATTAATGGCAATTGAAAAGATAAAGCTGCAATAAAGAACTTATGTGTATTATCCACTATACGTGTGGAGGTGGAATAAGGAAAGCTTTGTATAAAAAAAATTTATTTCAGGGCTAACTGTGGACAGTTTCGTATTCTACCATCTGATCAGACGTGCTGCATTATGGTAAATCCAGTTCTGTAGTCACACACTGTGTGTCGTGTCAGACAAGTCTGAGATGATATAAAATCATACACTATAACAGTATATATCAAGTTACAGTCTATAAACATCATCAAGTCTGAAACTTAAAGAATCTGGGAGTCTGATACTTCCGTATATTACTTTCCAGCAATTAAAAAAATACTTACATAAAATATTTGGCATCTAATACTTGTTCTGTGATAACAAAAAAGATAACAAGAACTCATCTGTATCTGCCTATGCCCGAATTCCACAAAGATCATGAGAATTTCTTTTCCCCATAAACCTTTCACAGTGAACAGCATATACTACTTTTGGAATTTTTAAACATAGTAAATAAAGCTGGTAACGTCAAAAGAAAAACAGTAGTCACTGCACAGCGCACAACTTTTCTGTCGCCTCCAACCATACAGGAGCACTTGTAGGTACAGCACTGAAAGCCCTCCACCGACACTCTAAGAATACAGATCATAGCTACTATGATAACACAGTTCAAAAATGCATCTCATTTTTCAACCTACTTTTCCTTTTTACTTCCCAACAGGTAGGAGCATTCCAAAACAGATGAAAATTGCTATTAAGCTAATATTAAGTTCAATACTAAGAATATTGTCTTCTTTAGAAGGAGCATTTCTTGCCAGAAAAAAAAGGAACCCACGCACAACTGTTACAAAAATTTAAACATATGCTTAAAACAATTTCTGTGACTAGCATTAGGAAAACCTAATTTAGGACTTAAATTGGGTTTCATTTCCATCGGGCAGAGTGGAATAGAGTTTGCTCAGCCCTTCCTCCACAGCTCACATCATCAGGTGCTACAGGCTCATCACAAATGAAACCTTTTATTCACCTTCTGTTTTCCAGCAACACTGCTAAGTGGTTGGAGCAGGAAATTATTCCTATATCAGGAATACTTTATCTAGGGTAAATAATGACAGAAAACATGTTCATCATTTCCTTGAAAAACTGTCTCTCTTTCTTACAAGCAGTGTGTGGGGAGTCAAAGTAGTTTCCCTTTTTGTCTTCTACTTTTTCCCCAGGCTGTTTTAACTCCTACGCTCTAGCAAGGACAAAATGTCAGAATACAGAAACAGTGAATCTGTAATTAAGAAATTTTTTTCCAATTCTCTCCTCAATTCAGCAGTAGAATTTTTGTAAGGGACAACCATGAGTGTCCTCTCCCACACAACACTGGACCTCCATTACCTGATTTGCACCAGTCACTAGAGCAAAGTCCTTGGGCTGCCCCTGAGCCTTTTGAGTAAAGCTTTCTCTTTCCAAGTTATTTGAAGAATATTAGTCCCGCTGGGACCAATTCACTGCTACACCACCAACCCAGGTGCTTGTCTTGCTAGTCTCCTTTGTCATTTGGGCACTCCGTTCTCATCCTTGCATAAGCCATCGGAACGACCATTCAAGGAACAGAATGACCATCTGCTTCAGTCAGCCCTGCATCAGAACGCATCTTTTGTCTGAAAAGTCTGCAGAGTGTGGTGGAAGAAAGAATTAACCAAATATCTTACACAACCGCTCTCGATATCATGGAATTCCAAGCACACCATTTTTGCCTGTGAAATATTTGTCTTTTGAAAATACCCCTTGAAATTTGAAGTGCTTCTTATTTCTATCAACTTACCTGTCAGAAAACTAAATTGATGCATAGGCCACCCTGTCTTCAGCCACCTACAGTCTGCCTCAAACTTTTTAACCAGAATTAATTCTAGGAATAATTCACCTAATTTAACTGCATGACTGGCCACCCTAATGTTATAGACAATCCAGAGCTATCTTGTGAGATG